TGAACATGTACCAAAAAGCTTACGTCTAAAGGGAACAAATTCTTTTAACAGTGCCATCGCCAGGCATCTCCTCGACACGGGTCATGAGGTGGAAATCGAGAAATCCTTTAAAGTTATCAATAGACAAAGGAGCTCCATTCTCCTCAAGTTTGCCGAAGCAATTTCTGTCAAACGCTTCAAACCAGATTTATGTGTTCAGAAAGAAGCAGTTATTAGTCTTTCCTTGCCATGGTAACTAGATGTCTTTATTCTCTAATCTGATTACGTAATCTTTGTCTTTAACCTCACCCCTCCCTTTTTTATTTTTATTTTTAAAATCTGTAATATTGCTTGTCTCTTGTTTCTATGACGTGATTAGAACTCAGTACATCGTTACAAAATTTATTAGTTACTCATCATCTTACTCACCTCTCGTCTTTATTACGTAACTCTTTTACCATTGTATGCAAAGATCTATTTTGTTTAAACTTGAACTGCCTGTGAAAAAACTATATAAGCGCAATTTTCTGAGCACTGTTCACTTACTGTGGAACCTTCTGTCAACTGACAACATGTAAAAATTTGCAAGTATGTAAAAAACTTTTCTGTACGTAAACCTCACAATTTATTTAGGCTGTAAGCAGCTGATGAGAAGCCGACGAAATAAATGGTGGTACCATATTATTCTGCACAAACCGCTGTTGTTCTTGCTTTATTTAAATTGTATTTTTGTTTGACAAACTTAATGTACACATGCATACAAAATAGCACATATATATTTGCGATTGTACAGCTAAGAAAATGAATTCGCCGAAAAGAGACTCTTCGCTGATCTACGTGTTTTGTTTTCGATAATATTTTTATCTCTTTTGTTAACTTTATTTATAAACGTGTCATTATTTTAACTCAAAATTTACGTGAACTGTCAGGCTAATCTTGTGAACTTCAGTCTTACCGGTATCTCTCCTGAGACTAAAGGATCAGTCGTGGAACCATCCCACTGAACCAATATGAGACTAATTGTAGCTGATTTCATTGACAACAAAACTCAAGTAATTAATTTGATTATTTATGGACAGTAATGAGGTCAGAATTCACTAAAACTTGGAAATAGCTATAATATGTTTAACAGTCACACGGTAAGGTTATGGAGAATTCCGTTTCCAACTTTGTTTCTATGAAAAAAGACAGGTTACAATTGTAAATACAAGGGAAATAAGTAGGTAGATGCGAACATCATTTACATAGTAGTGGAAGTCAATTCCATACTAACTGATGCATAATGTACACCACACAATGTAGCCCTTTTACTGTTTAGATGAGCTTTAGAATGTACCTTTTTGTTAGGTATAGTGATTATTCCATCAGCAGGTAGACATACATGATCTGCAATTTGTCACCAAGGCTGAAGGTGTACAACATGTCGTAAGGCTGTTCTAGGACATTAATATAAATGCATCCGAATCCTAGCTCACTAATAACAGTATGTATTTGGATGGCCTAGCATTATCTTTAATATCATCAGTCAATCTCTTACTACATACCTCATCTATTTCTGATTCCCTCAATCCTGTTTTCAATAGGAGTAATGCAGTTCTTCTGACATTTTCAGCAGGCTTTGAACAACTCTTACTAAATGAATCCAAAGTTATATATATATGATTTCACTTATGCATCTATGTATATCTGGGTGGCAAGGGATTAAATCAGATTTCGTTCCGCTCAATATGCACCTAACTGCAGAAATTTGTTAGTTGGCTGTTTCAAGTAGTTTTTCTATGGATTGACCTTCTTCAGGTTTCGTCATGTCGTCTTGTTAGTTGCACATCAAGAAAGGCGATTTTGGATTCTCATTCCATTTCTAGAGCGAATTCTATTGCCGGATGGCAGTTGTTGAATATTTGTAGTAACTGATTTTGGTCGTAACAATTGTCGCAAACGACGAAAATGTCATCTACGTATCGTTTGTACAACTGCAAATTGTCAATGGAAGATTTGAGTGGGCCTTTCTGAAGGTTAGCTATGAAGCAGTCTGCTAGTTATAGACTCAAGGGAGATCCCATTGTAATACCGTCCTTGTCCGTAGATCGGAAGCACTGAAAGTAAATTGTACGTTGAGAGTACACCTAGTAGCAGTTTTTTCGGAGATGTTGTTGGTGTTCCAATGTTCAGCTGGTTGCCATCTATGTATTTACATATGAAACAGACAGTTTCTGTTAGTGGGACATTGGTGAACAGTGATTCAATGTTAGTAACATCCATATCTTATATGCAGTCAACGAATTGGAAGGTATCACGAAGCGGGTATATACATAGATATTTCCTTACATGTTCCAGATTATCAGCCAAGCATTTTGCAAGAGAATGATAAGGGGAACCTGATGTATCTAGAATTGGACGGAGTGGATGACCAGCTTTGTGTATCTTCGGTAAACCATAAAGCCTTGGTATTATTGAACCTGTCGGTCGGATTCGATCACAGAGATAGCAGCTAATTAACTGACCAGTTTTCAAGGCGTCTGCTAGCTGTTTGTCAATCGCTTTAGTTTTGTTTCTTTCGTTGGGAGGTTGAGAAAATTTACTTTCATCGGAGAGCATATTCTTCATTTTCTCCAAAAGAACAATACCAGCTCCCATGACAGGATGGATTATTAGTAGTTCTTTTTCGCCCCTCAGCTGCTTTAATTCTTTTCGGTGCGGACTATTGCTTTTGTACTGAGATACTGGTGGTAACAATCGATGATTGTTGATTTGAATCGTTGTAACTCATCGTTAGATGTTGGGAATGTTAGGAAGAGGCAAAACACATGCAATTATCAAGTTATTATCGCGTTATTAACAAGTCGTTGACATGCAATTGTTCCTGCTTCTGATTGGACGCTTGCACAATTCCAACTCTCAACCGGATTGGTTGATTTCCAATCTACCTTATTTTCTGTATAAATACAGTCACTTTTGTCATAATAAATGAACCTGGTTTTACCGTTGATTCTCTTCGTGTTCTGCTTTACCAGTTAAGTGGGCACTGGTCACTAGTTAAGCAGTGACCTGGTGACAAAGGATCAGCATCATAACAGGGAACCAGATCATTCGTTTGGTCAATTAAATTTTCAAACTGTACATGAGTATGGAGTTTGTCGACGTTGACATTGGTCGTTCGACGCGTATCCTGTCCAAAAAAGTTCAAGAACACTGTTCCGCATGGCTACAGAAAGGCAATAGTGACTGTATAAGGAGCGCGACAATCGAAAATCTCGTCAACACTGATCATTCCACTTCAGCAAACGCCTCCTTCAAAAGTGAAGAACAACCTACCAAAGGCAATACACTTTCGTCTCCATTGTATTGCTGAGGCCTTAACCAATTAGTTGGAGAAACCAGAGTTATGTATACGAAAGAAAATCATCCAACCACTTCCACTATCATGGTAACAACCGTGTTGACTTCTCCTGACTTGATGTTTGTGTGCTTGTTTTTTCTAACTTCTTATAACATTTGTAATTTTTAGAACTTACATAATTCCATACTTTCCTTTGTTTCTCTGTACATTCTAATCACAACTCACTCATTAAACTATACACCTTAATACGTAACTGTATTACGCTTATCCAACTTCTTTTGTGTTGATTAACATTAATGACTATGTTTTTATTTTGACAACACATCACCACTACCCTCTTACTAATCTCCACCCCCGCCTAGTTACAACTTGATTACTCATCACATTTTTGAAATGTCTTGACAACAATAAGCTTAACTTATTTTTATTCTTATCGGACACACACACACACAAAAATAAGTATATATAATTGCGAGTGTACAGCCGAAAAGAGACTCTTCGCTGAACTACGTGTTTTGTTTTCATAATTGGATTTCTCGATGTCGTTGATCTTAGGCTTGACTGCAAGAAATATAATGCACTGAGGTTGGGCACATGAATTGTGTGTCATATGATTTATGTTTATGAACAACAAATTGTTTTGGAAACATTATCTCATAAACAACATTGTTACATTGAGTGATACGTTTAATAAATAATTCTGAAATGGGTACATGATATTGTGGATTTTTGCAATTTAATATTAATCGATCAAAATTCAAGTGGAAATTGGGCAGAATAGTAAGAATAACTTCCACAGTACCCGCACACAAAAAGCACTTTAATAAATCCCATACGCTCCTGTATGGTGCTAGCAGTTCAGCAGTTCATTCACCATAAGAAATCCAAGTTTTTGGGTTAACCATTTCATTAAAAATCTGTGCAGATCTTGGTTATAATAAATGGACTGAGTGAATAAGGTCAGGTCAGTAGTCGCAAGGAGATTTAGATCAAAAGTAACTTTTTTTATTTATTTATTTTGATTTACAGCTTGATTCCACACCGTATTTCCAGTACAAGTGTGGAATTTTCAGCATGGATATCAGTAGCCCAAATTCAGGCCGACCATAGATATCGGGTGTGCGCCGGCAGGGGATCGAACCCCGGACCATGTGCATGGTCGGTGAGAGTCCTAACCGCTGTGCCACCGACGCACAAGGAAGATTTTATGGGTTTAGAAATAAGGTTTAATAAAAACAAGTCAGGTAAATAAGATCGTCAAAATATTTCAAAATTAAGGTTTAATAAAGTTAATTACAACAAATATTCGATAAGAAACATAATGACGGTGGAAAGATAATCACGTATTTTCAGTACTTGTTAAGTTTGGAAGCGTCTGATAGATTATGACGGAATAATTCTATGATAGGCGAAGAAATCAGGTTAAAGAGGCGCTTAGAGAAAAGGCTGAGTTAATTCTCCAAAAGATGCTGATGAAAACAATTTATGTCTTAGAGAAACATGCTCCACGATACTTCAGTAACATCTTGTTGATAAGAATAACCTGATATACTTAGCAAGTGGTAATATAAGTAGATACCAACTAAATGTACCTAATGTATCTAGTAGTACCATATCGAAATACTTTTCTATAGAACTCCCTAAAAAATTTCATGATTTTAGCAAAAAAGAAAACGCTGTATACTTTCCAAAATAATTTTATTGCACAACTACGAAAGTGTAATGAATTAAAATAAAAATTAAAGCATAAAGTAGACTAATTCATTTGGTAACTTAAAAACTAGTTATAAGTATCCTCTTAAACAATAATTTCAAGTCATTAAAATAAAGATAAAAATAAGTTCATAAAATTGTATGCAACAGTATGATATCCCACTGGAGATTACAACCAAAATGTATGTAAATGTGAGGTCAGGGGATATTTTAGTGACTTATTCTAAGTACACGGGAATACTGCATTCCAATGAAGGTATCAGTCACTCCCACGCCAAAGCCATGCAAGTGCGACTTGGTAAATACAGAAAAACACAGTTTTGACGGCCATCCCATGGTTCGCTGTTCGTAAATACTTCAACAGATTGATCAATTCGACTGAAACCACCAAATTGTTCTTGATCAGAATCCAAAACAATACGGTACCTTATAAAGTAGACAAACGAAAGCTGGTTCAGAGTACAGAAAGGTATGTGAATCGAATAGCATCATTAAAATTGCAATATATAACACGATATGCTTTAAGTAATTGCTTAAGCAATAAGAATATTATTTGTTACTATTTCGTTTAACTTGTGAGAATGTGTTCTTTACAAATACGAGATGTGCATACGCAAACACAATCCAAGCATAAGAAAACAAATTTAAATTCTTAACAATACACAAACAAATAGGTTAAGTAGCTCAGCATTGTATTGGGAATCTGTTACAGATGATGTAAACATTTACAAAAGCTAGTCATGTAAAAATCACATTTATTTGTATACACACGTGAGAAATGGGCTTCAAATCTACCAAAGTATTTATTCAACCGAAAGGATCAGAGGACAAAGTGGCTAAATACTTTTAAATATTAATTGACACGAGATTTTCGAGACAAATACAATGGAAGATAACCATAAAACAGCTGTTTTTTTCAAAGAGATTAGAATAAACAGTCAAGTTATAGGATTTGTGAAATGAAAAATTCGTAACAATAAATTTTAATTAACCCAATGCGGAGAGTTAGCTATCTTCAATCGCATAATTGATAAGGTGTAGGATATATTTATAAGAACTTGAACCCCATGTTTACTTCTTTCTGCTAGCTACAAATAAATATATGCACTGTCAAGGATTATTATAACTATATATATATATATATATATATATATATATATATATATATATGCATATTTAGCATGATAGGGTCGATGATATCACATGACTGAGATTAATACAGTAAGTTTGAACTAAAGACCATTAATTTTTAAGTTTACGTCTTATGTTTAGGGTAGAACCTACAACCCGATCGATACCTGCTACCTTGAACTGGTCGTTCGGCTTGAATATCGCAATGACCCAACAAGTTTTACTGGGTGGAACCAATTTTCTTACTTAACATCCGAGTCACTAAACTGTTTATAGAAGTGCATATGCCGTCTACTGTACCAGCAGCACCTGAAGAACAATTGTGTACTTCGTCAGAGGACACTACGCAGAGTACCACTCTGATAGATATGGGTCTCAGTCAAATTACCAGTCTTTGCAAAATAGAATACACTCAATTTGGTGAATTTTACACTTGCAAGGTATGCAACGTGAAGTGTACCGGTAAGATGCCCTTTCTGCAACATGTAATGGGGTCAAGTCACAAAAGAAAGTCCACTCTTAGTAAGCTTATAACTTCATATTATTAGTCCATTTGTAGACGCACCTTTTTGTCAGGAATGGAATACAAACTCCAACTCTTCTGAGCAATATGCGTCTCACTGCAGTGGAACGTCTTCTGAAAGTCAAACATCTGGACAGACCCGTATGGAGCAACGATCTACTGGAAACAACGATACAACCTACTTTTGTGAACTGTGTGGTCTTAACTGCTCTTCTAAGAAACAGCTTGATTGTCATCTAGCAGGTAAAAGACACTTGAAACAATCCAGAAAACGAGGAGCACACTTATCTGATCATTTGTCAGTCAATTCTACATTGAGTTTACAGTCAAACCAGTTTAATGAATTAGAGGAATGTCTTTCACAAATTTTCACTTCAATGAATCACACTGTTGAAAATTCAGTAGAATTTTGTCAAAAGGTTGCACATTGGTTAAGAAATGTCATAGATCTTGAGTCTAAAGTGGAGTCAACAAATAACATCTCCCCATTGTTTTTATCACCAACGTCATCTCCGACTCTTTCATGTCAGAAGGAAACCGATGCAGTTTTAGGAGCATCACCTTCAGAACGGAGCAACGGTGGTTCTCTTGAAAGTAGGCCGTTCTGTAAACATGCTGATTGTGTTCTATTAAGGTCACTGCAAGTGAGTTGGTTTTTAATTCTCATTTGCAATGATTTTAAAGTCGTCATCCACTCTTAAGAAAGGTATTTCTTATTATTCAGGTCAATCATCATGAGTGAATAGTAGCGTAACTCAGAATTCTTGTACTCGTTCATATGCCGAGGTGTAAGTCGCATCTAGTGTTTTCTACGTAAAGACATTACTTGGTTGTCTCAACTCCATTGAACGAAGTGCATTTTTAGACCACCGTTCATTTTTTGAAAGATGGGTGTTTGAAGTACTTGGTTGCACACTTGTTTTACGGTTAGCGAAACGCTGTGTAGCGATCTGCTGGACTGATTGTTTTTTCCACTTGGTTATGAGCAGAATGAAGGAAGGTGATCATCCTGAGATCAAAGTGTCCTTTTGCGTGCAGTGCTTGAGACAGCTTTAGGCCGCACATGCCGAGTTCCTTGACTGGATCCCAGTGGTTAGTCGTACGTGTGCGGTCCATCTGAACGGGCCCGTCAGAAGAAGGAAGAACGGCGTAACTCGTCGATGTCTTTTCGTAGTCTGCGCTCACGCTCCGACAGACTGCAATTCGGATGAACTAAAGGATGACTTCTACCTGAAACTGTCAAATTTGCTGCAAAAAGAAAAACGTTCAGCTATAGTTGTCTTAGCAGGCGACTTCAATGCCCAAGCAGAAAATTTGTGCCAGACTGAGAAGTATGTAGGTAGCACGTATGGAGTTCCTGGCCAACGAAAAGAAAAGGCTGAACGTCTTCAACAGTTCTGTTAACATAATCATGTGTTCCTAGTCAGCACTAACTTTAGGCACAAAGGGAAACACTGCGTAACCTAGCGACCTAAATCACCAAATCAACATTGGACCCAACTAGACCACATAGCAATAGGGTATCGTTGGCGAGGGTCAGTAGAACACTGCCGCTCCTTCTGGAACACGTGAGCACACTCCGATCACGCCCTGGTTCGCGCATGTTTATGCTTACGACTAAACGGACATACAAAAACCGTTGGCAGCGAAGCAGTTACGTCCCGAACTAGGTCAAGACACTCAGTCCCTATTTAAGGAAGAAATAGTGAAACGAGTATCTGAGGTCGACAGCAGGACTCCCCCTGACGAAGTCTGGTATACTATATAGTCAGCTGTAGAAGGGAGACAAGTATTCTTGAGACAACCACAGGAGCATCTAAGGTTCTGCGCTCAATAATAATACGTAGACTAAGTGGAACTCGGGAGAAACAAACACAAGAGAACCAAGCAGAGGGTGTATTGATCTTATCTTCACTCTCCGACAGATCCTGGAACACAGGCATACATACCCGCCTCATATTTTTTGACCTGAAAGTGGCACTTGATTCCGTCGACTGAGAGGTACTACGGCGATATCTGGCTGTGAATGGAGTGCCGAGAAAATACATTGCGCTGGTCAAGGCAATCTACTTGAACTCATACAGCCAGGCGAGAGCCTACGGAGAGTTGTCATTTGAAGTGGTGACAACTAGTGGTGTCCAACAGAGATGCCCACTGTCCCTATTTCTGTTTAATTTCATAATAGATGTACTCATGAACTTAACTCTAACTGACTTCAGCGAGTCAGGGATTGACTCGTCTGTTACAAGGGAATAATGTCGTTGACTTGGAATATGAGGATGGTGTAGCCCTCCTAGTTGCAGACGCTGACAAAATGCAGTCTTCTGAACACCTTGAGCAACCATCTTCAAATGTAAGATGATGCTACAGGTCTCGTTCTAATCTGATATTAGCCTAAAGATAGGGAATGAAGTGGTAGAGCGTGCTGAACATTTCATTTATTTGGGGAGTTATATCAGCCAGTGTCAACGGGTTGATCGTTGACAAAATCTCAGTACGGATACAGAAGGCACATTTGGCATGTTCCAGCTAACCTACGCCATCTTTGGCGTAGACGTGATATCCGGTTGTCGACAAAACGGCATATTGTACTGCTCAGCAGTTCGCTTCGTCCTCCTTTATGACTGTGGGGCCTGGCCATTGAAAGTGGAAGACATGAAAAGGCTAGCCGTGTTTGATCATAGGTGTCTGCGTTAAATCTCCTGTGTTAAGTGGTAGAATAAGGTGAGCAATATTGAGGTTAAGCGTCGAGTGCTAGGTAAGAGGGGAAATCAATCGACGAAGTTGTGAAGTTACACCAATTGAGATGGTTAGGACATATGTAACGTAAGCCTAACCACAGCCTTCCTCAAGGGGCAATGTTAGATGACATGGGATCAGGTTGGAAAAGAGCTAGTGGTGATCAAACCAAAACATCACTTCATCAGTCATTGTAGTCCATAACATTTAATTTAAGCTAAGTAGGGAGGTGTATGCCTTCTGGTTTAGTTTCTCGGGATGGTAACAACCAATGGCTGGAGATAATTGGTAATATGGCTCAAAATCGTTCTCAATGGAACAGATGCATTCACTCTTTGTGTTTTGTCATTTCCAATAAAACTCTATTGTTCTTCCATAGTACTTTTCTTTTTCCCTCACTCTTGTGTTTATTATCCTTATTTATTTTCTTCTCTTGCTTTGTTTACTACGTGGAGGAAGATTGACAACTCCAACTGCTGCACATCTTTGCAAAGTCCCATTTTGAAACAAGTCAAGACCTAAATACTGATGATTGAGGGTCGTCTATCAATCTGTAATGCAAGACAGTTTGTGCAAACAGGTCTATTCAAATAGACACTTAGTACCTTGTCAAAAAGCTGTGTGCAACGGTGGTCAGTATAAACCATGACCAGTTATTAACTTAAAGTTGTAACGACGGTAACAAATGAAAGATGAAGATCAAATTGAATTTCAACATAATATCTAGTTTGACACTAAGTTTTTAATTCCAAAATAAAAGAATGATTTGCTTTGTTTTAGTGAATGCAAAAATAAGATTAAAACAGTTTTAGTAAAGACAATAGGGCATTGTGAAAGTAACGAAATATACCTGGAAAGTTAATAATCAAAATGATGACAAACCTACCGTCCTGGTGTTTCAACTCCAATCTTATAGTCCGTGAAACTTTGAGTAGGATGGAAATTGAAAACAAATAAAACTCCAGCACGTTCAAATGCAATAACTTTATCACCTTCGTTTTTCCTACTAACATATGCCTGATAAATAAAACAGAAAATGAAAACATGTGAGGCTATAGTAATCACTGGTCAACGGTATCTCCACTCAATAATTCTGAGGATAAAGGGATAATTCGGAATATTACATTTTCAAAATCATTCAAGAAAAAAATCACTGATGATAATATCTGCACAAGAATTTAACTGAAACACGTAGAATATATGATGCAGATAAAAGTGTATACAAGCACACAGAACACCTTAAACGGTTTTATTCGTAAAACCGTAAATTCCAGTTACTGCATAAACGAGAAGTCTAACATGCAGTAGCACAAACAAAAATGTTTGATGAGCTTTTAATTACAGAAGAAAAGTTCAAAAAGTAGTAGTGAGAAATATTTATTACGAAGATAAAGAAAAATTTGCATTGAAATAAATTTGTGTTGATGCAGAGAAAAAAGTTACACGTTAAGATACCATAAACTGTATCAATTCCACTTATTTTACGATTGAAGAATATATCCGTTGTAACATCAGGAGCGCCTTCAATACTAACTAAAACTAAGAATTTAAAATAACGTCTATGTAGTACCCTTTGTTTCTGTCCGATGTCCAAGTCATACCAACTCCGAGGTAGTTTTTTTCAAATTCCTTAGTATTAAATTGCTTTAACGCCATAATGTTGAGTTTCGGGGACTCGGTCGGTTGATATCACAAACTGATATCAATCAAAGAACCAAACGTGACCCACCCAGCAACACTGAGCACTGTGCAACCATGTCCTCACCAGGAGTCGCACGCAGGAACTTAAGACTGTCAGGTAAGGATGTTGAGCATTTAGCCACTGTTGTGGAATCTAATGGCATCCAACCAAATGAACTTCATGGAGTTCTCATGAGAACGAGTAGTCGGTGGCGTCCACCAAATCGGATAAGACGATACACAACCACTGATGACACTGGATGGTGTTGTATCGTGAATCTACAGAAGTTAGAATTTACGGGTCCTTCGATTTCAACTCGCTGGTCGAATGGTCACCCGGTCAGCTCTGTAACCTGAAGGTCCTGGGGTTTGACCATAAGGGGATGCAAGTGACCAGAGCTGAGAAGTTTCAGACTTGGACGAAATGACCGCCCAATGCTCCCCGAGTTTCAGCGATCCTTCAAAGGACATTGGTTCGTGACAAAATAATGTCTCAATTTGAAGAAAGCTATGGAATCTTGAAGATATTAGAAGACTACATACAACTAAAAAATAAAGTGCTGCCACCTAGACATGGCTATGAGTAAAATACGGTATCAATATTCCATTCGATTAGGGAACTACTGAAGGAATGTACATGTAGCTCACTAAATTTATATACTTTTACAGTGTTCAATGGAATCTAAAGTTCATCTCTTCCTCAAATGAAGATACTTGAAACACAGTTACTCTTATTTAGCCTCATAGGGCATTCTTAACGGCGCATCCATAAAGTCACGATAGATAATTGCATAAACATAAATCCACAGCCGTCGGTTTTGGGTTTACTTTTTAAGCTGTTATAACATCCTAGATTCTCTGTCCCTTTAAATTCTCTAGTTCAATAGTCATTTACCCCAAAACAGAATAAAAGTAAGCAATTAGAAAATACAAATACATGCAAAGAAAATAAGTAGTAAATATGGTGAGGCAATAAAAACTGACACCATCATTTACAGTAACACTTACCTGTGGTGCAGCAAGCCAACAATAGGTTTCTTCTAAATGTTGCATAGCCTTATCCCAATTATTCAGATATTTATAACGTAATAAAGGATCGTCAACGAGATTCCACTGTCGACGTGCATAGTGATAAGAACTATTATTACCAGCTCTTGGAAAATCTAACCACTCAGGATGACCAAACTCATTACCTACAAATTGGGACAGGAAGACTTTTCATTAGGGTCTCAGAAGTAAAATTTCAGGATACAAAATATGTGGAACCAAAAAGCACTTTTGGCAATGTAAACTTTCCACACCATAATTGATGTAAATACAAACTCACAGAAAAATAATGGTACTATATTAGAACTTATAGACCCTGATACAGCATAGTAGTACATTTTACAACAGTACTCCAACTTGTCTGCGATTATCTATGTGCAGGTATTATATGTTATCTAATATGTGGGTTAAAATAGATTCAATAAAAATAAAAAGCACCACGAAGTCATCTCAAAAGTTACATTAACATCCGTCCCACTTTTCCATGAAAACTTCCAAATCCCAAACTTCGATTCACAGTTCACATCAGTAAGATTAATATACACTTGAAATGATTTGGATGTGGTTGTGTTCTCTGAGCTGGATAGTTAATTTGCGAAGCTTTCATCACTCTGCTAGGTGACATCTTCAGCGCATACTTCAATTTGAAGTGAGCTTTTAGATTTCTCCACGAGTTTATTAATCATCTCTCCCGGTGACCTTGGACGTGATTGGTTGTTTTCGTGCGTTTTCACACCTTCTAGGCTACTTGTATTGGAACTGATTGTTTCTTTGACTTGAACTTTGACCCTTTGTGTGTGAGGTTTCTTTCTTATCGGTTGATAAATTTTGTCAATCTCGATGTGTCTATTGATCGATGATTCACTGGAATGCCAAGCTTCTAAAAATTCTCTAGCACTTTTGTTGTTCCCACTGTCTAATATTTGAACATTGTCCCAATCAAATTGATGCCCGTGGTTGTCTGTATGTAGTGATATGAGGGAGTGGATTTCATGTCTTTTGACGACTATGGGATTTGTTGATCCCATGCAAACAATAGACAATCGCATCCAAAGGACCTTAAACAAGCTCACCAAAACTGGACAGATCACAAAACAAGACCAATGGCGAATGAAATTCAGTGGACCAGTCCTACCCCGATTCTACGGCAGACCCAAAATACACAAGCCAAATATCCCACTACGACCAATTGTATCGCTCCCAGGAACTCCAATATATAACTTATCCAAAGAATTATACAGGAAACTGAAACACCTAACGGAATTTTGTGATCACTCCATCAACTCTGCTATCCAATTTCTAGAAAAAATCAAAGGCATCCAAATAGATGAACAAGAAATAATGATATTCTTCGACGTCACAGCATTATATACCTCAATCGGACAAAAACTAGCAAAGGAGACTATGGAACAATTACCCAGCAACGACGAACACCTCCCACAACAATCAAAAATGCAACACACAAGCTGGATGGAATGCATAAACCTATGCCTAACAACGTACTTCCAATTCAACGGCCAAATATATGAACAAGTCAAAGGAACACCCATGGGATCGCCAATATCAGGTTTGATTGCTGAAGCAGTGATGCAAAAGCTCGAAAACATAATCCTACCAAAGGTCAAACCCAAGGTTTGGATACGCTACGTAGACGACACATTGTAATAATCAAAAGAAACGAGTTAGATAAAACTCACAACTTAATAAACAACGTCTTCAACGACATCAAATTCACAAGAGAAGAGGAATCCGAGAACAAAATCCCATTTTTGGATGTCGTAGTCAAGCGAACAACCACAGGGGAATTAGAAACCCAAGTTTATAGAAAATCAACTCACACAGATCAAATACTGGATCACAACAGCAACAACCCAATAACACACAAAAGGAATTGCATACAAACACTATTCAAGGACTCATTGCATCACTCCCACCTTAAGGAAAATTGAAGAAAGATATCTCATGGACGTCTTCCAAAATAATGGACATCCACGGAATTTCATCAAAAGACATATACCCCTAAGCCAACCTATCAAATCAAAAGCCCCCAAGGAAAGAACAAAGAAAGTTGCCCTGCCATATATAAAGGATATATCAGAAATCACTGCAAGACTCGTCAAACCTTTAGGAATTGACGTCACACACAAACCAACAAAATCACTTCACTCACTTCTATATCAACCAAAAGACTCAACAGCGAAAGAAAATAAAACCAACATCATCTACAAGATAAATTGTAACAACTGCGAAAAACACTACATTGGCCAAAGTGGACGTCCCCTTCGTCTTCGTATCCACGAACATAATCTAGCCGTCAAAAGACATGAAATCCACCCCCTCATATCACTACATACAGACAACCACGGGCATCAATTTGATTGGGACAATGTTCAAATATTAGACAGTGGGAACAACAAAAGTGCTAGAGAATTTTTAGAAGCTTGGCATTCCAGTGAATCATCGATCAATAGACACATCGAGATTGACAAAATTTATCAACCGATAAGAAAGAAACCTCACACACAAAGGGTCAAAGTTCAAGTCAAAGAAACAATCAGTTCCAATACAAGTAGCCTAGAAGGTGTTGTAACAACAGAAGGCAAGAGTCAGACAACAGATCATTTATTAAGGAAATCAACGCATATTTATATATTTTCATGTACATTACTTTGGATATTTAAGCAAACAAACACACTCTTCCGATTGGTTGTTTCTCACGTAAAGTTAATCTTTCATCTATTTGTGACCGTTTCTTGAATGTCAAATCCTCTATATGTTAACTGCATCCGCCTACGCAAAGTCAATCTTTGTTCACATTTTCTCATGACAAATCTTGGGAACGTAAATATTGACGTAAATTACTGTCTACCAATTTGGCTAGTAGACAGCTCTCACCACAGTGTGAAAACGCACGAAAACAACCAATCACGTCCAAGGTCACCGGGAGAGATGATTAATAAACTCGTGGAGAAATCTAAAAGCTCACTTCAAATTGAAGTATGCGCTGAAGATGTCACCTAGCAGAGTGATGAAAGCTTCGCAAATTAACTATCCAGCTCAGAGAACACAACCACATCAAAATCATCAACCTGAGCTACAAATCTTCTCCATCACTTGAAATGATGTATTTTAGGGAGGATATGGCAATCACCTACATATTTCAGCGTCATGATCTTACTAAGTAAAAGTGTAAGGCAATTCATTTCAAAGCATGCTGCAGCATTTTCTTCAGCATTGTGAAAAACCCGTGTTTGGAACCCAAATGTGGAACGAATTAGACATTGGAGGGTGTCATGGGGTAGGTCGTATGAGGATGAGATGAAGGCCCACGAGTAATAGTGAAGACAGCTAAAGATAACTGCAGAAAACATGATGAAATGTAGATGTGCTGTTGAAGCCTTATGTTGCACTCGGAATCTAAGGCAATAATAATATAATTTGATAGTTTAGCATGAACACAATCACTTACCCATAAAATTGAGATAACCTTCACCACCCAAGGTATGTGTTATAAATCTTATCAGCTTGTGCAATGCAATACCACGATCAATTACTAAATTCGGTGGACTTAAAGTGCTCATACTAAAGTACATTTCTTTATCCATAAGCCAAAAGGATATAGTTTTATCACCAACTAAAGCCTGATCATGACATTCTGCATACGCAATATTGGATTCACCATAACGTCGATTTGTCAGTGCATGCACGATATCGCCCATACTCCAGTCTTCATCTTTGTATTTCTTTAGCAGCTAAATATGAAAATGAAATTACCACCAGACAAAATCAAAACTCCAGTGACTATCTATGATCAAGAAATATAAATGATGCGATCAATCAAATCTATTAACACAAGATTAACTGAGGTGGAAATCACCTTGTAAAAGGATTCGAAAGTAGTAAGTAAAATAAAATGACTGATTTTTAAGTTGCAGCAACGTGTGATTTATTTGATCGACATGTATACATACCTGTATTCATGCGTCTGAATCCAACTACGCAATAATCGTAACAGCAACATAATACAAAAATAAGCAGTCCAATATATAAATACTGTTTACGTTACTAACATTTCATAATACCATAGAAATATAATTTCAGTAGAAACGGAATATTCAAATAAACAAAATAAACACGATTAGAAGATAACAGTATAAAAGGATAGGGTATTTCGAAAGTGGAGGATAAATTTCAGTTGTGATTTGAAAGATTTGAGCTGCATTTGCCCACACGGCTCAATAATTTCATTGAGCAACCACATCACTTTTATCCTTTTCAATGTAAGCCGATTTCAACTACCATTGTATATTGTGAGAAGTGACCTATTAAGGTTGATATTTAAAGGAAATTCCCCCTGAAATATCAGCAGAGGATAACCTAATACCTGACATGAGCACATCAGCAGAGGTAAAAAGGTAAGACAGTACTCAGTTTATTCCCACTCATGTATTGTAAATCATTTCCAGTTAGACTAAAACAAACTAATTTCCTACAGTTTTGACAAATAGAGGTTATCTTCAATAACGGAAAAGTGTATGATGGTTTCCCAAATGAAAGGCAAGCAAAACATTTAGGTTTTTTACTTTATGATGAGCAAGTATGACACTGTTTTACACCAGTTAACAAGTTCCCAGTATAATGCTTTCTCTGAGAACAGTTTTCATTTATTATATTAAGCAAAGTAACTGGAAAAAACTTAAGGCACAAAATTAACATGGCACACTCTGTGATTAGGATAAATTATCTGTTCAGAGAACTCCTTTATGTATTATGTATGTGAATTAAACTAACAGATCTTACCTCAATCCATTTATCAGGAATGGCCATTGCTAATCGATAATCAAATCCACCACCGCCTTCGGAAACTGGACGACACAAGGTAGGCATACCACTGACTTCCTAATAAAAATGCGTAACCAAAAAGCATTTTAAAATTCAAGTCAGGCTAATTAGGTTTAATGTACGCCAAAAAATTGTCCAACTCGTAGGGAATAAAATATTTCGCATTATTTCAAGTTTACACATATGAAAGCAATGAAAAGATACAAGTGAATGTGAAAATGACTGATGAAAGTCTAAACCAATAACTCTTACCTCAGCTATAGTAATGACAAATGGATACTTCTGATGTAAAAAGTGGTTTGCTAGCATTAAATAAGTGAATGATTCCGTGTCGACAGAGAGTCCAAAATATTCACCATAGTGACCAGAAAAATTTGTCATCAAACCATGATGATGGTAAAGCATAGACATAACTCCATCAAAGCGGAAACCATCGAAACCATACTCATCAATCCACCAACGTAGATTTGACATCAGAAATCGTAAAACTTCTAGCCTATACAAATTGAATATTTACGCAAATTGAGTGTACATGGAATAAATTTTTTCTGAAAAACATATCGTGAGAGAATAATGCTGTGAACACTAACGCTACCACTATGATATTGTTATTATCTTCGAATCTATGATAATAAAGCATTCATTCGTACTAGGATTGAATACGATTCAACTTATGTATTGATAACAGCTAATTGTAGAATCACAATTCAACAGCCCTTGAAAGATGGACATATTTCCACTTTGTGTATTTCAGAATAATTGTTACAAGTAACCGTTTATCAGGAACGAATATTCGATTATGTAATAGGACTATATAACTTGTATTAGCAGAATGCACCTTGAAACGAAAGATTATCGTATCTGAAACACCGATAAATGAAAGATAAAGTGGAGTGAGACCAACAGTTGAAAGATGAGTTCCTAGATAAAAGAGGAACAACACTGAAAGGAACATTTCAACAAATCTGTCCATCACAAATATAACCAAGTTATCGCCCACACCTAGTTGAGACTGGCTGCTACCTAAAGTGAATTGTATCGACAGTTAATAACATACTTCTACATAAACGATGCCTGTAAGGGACTGGAAATACCTCTTTTTGTCCTCTTTTATAATGCTTAAGTTATTTGAAATGGTTATTATTAAGTAAAACAAAGTGGAAAAGTTTGGGTAACAAAGTATGAACACATTACCCAACAAATGCTATAACAAATTACATGTATCGGATTTGAATTCAGCGACTGAACATTTAGTCACTTAGCTATTCAATGAAGTAATGACTACACTTATATCTGAGACTGACAGCAAAACTCACCCTTAGGATGCCTGGTATAATGTCCAGTTGGCTGTAAAAACAGTGAATGTGATAGTAATCGACTTTAGTGACTTAGAAATTGACTTGTTACAAAGGAATAATCTCGTCGACTTACAGCGTGGAGACAAGATTATCCGTCTACGTGGAGACACTGGAATAATGCGGTCTTCTAAACACCTTGAGCAGCAGTCTTCAAATATTTGGTATGCGATTCACTCCTGCTGCAGGACTGGTCTACATTGACTCCTAGTTTGAAGATAGGGATTGAAGTGGTAGGGCATTTTGACCATTTCACTCCTTTGGGAGGTTCCATCAGCCCTAACAGACTGGTTGCTGACAAAATCTCAGCACGGATTCATAAAGCTCGTCTGGACTTCGCCAACTCACGTCATCTCTGGAGCAGACAATGTCCGACCATCAATCAAAGCATGTGTGTACTCTGCAGCAGTTTGCTCTGTTCATCTTGATGAGAGACGCTACCGTTGAAGGTGGAAGATATGGAGAGGCCAACTATCTTTGATGTGTCTGAATTCTATCCCTCGTGTTGGGTGATGTAATATAGTAAGCAATACTGAGGTTAAGCGTAGTGTCAGACAAGGAGGAAAAACCAACCGACGACGTGAAAATGCATCGAATGATATACCTAGAGATGCTTTATAAATACCGAGTCGTCGCCTTCCTCGTCGAGTAATGTTAGCTGACACAGAATTTAGATTGGGAAAGAGTTATGAGTGGTCAAATGGAAATCTGGCATCAGCCCATGTAGTCTTTGACTGTTGTTTTGGGTCAAGTCAGAAGATATAGACGATCTGGCTGAGGTCCTCGAAACCTTAAGAATCAATGGATGGACTGTTGGTGACATAGACCATAATCGTTCTCAATGGCGCAGACGCATTCACTCTTTTTGAACTCCTGGATGTATGAAATTCCCATTATTCTTCATGTTACTATTCTTTCTCCTGTACATATCTGTTCACTATAGCTCCTTTGAATTTTTTCAACTACCTTTGTGTGAAACACTGAGTATGGCAACTTGAAATGCCGCACTTTTTTACAAAGTTCTATGTCGAAAACCCAGTCACCCAAATAAACGTCACACAACCAGGTTGGGAATAAGGTATAACTTAATGCATTTAATATATCAAATTAACTGGAAATAACTGGGTACTGTTAAAGCCACTCATCAACCTGAACACTTAATTAACTCCATTTTATACTCAGCAAACCTATTAAGCATACAACAAAAGAAAATAGGGAAGAGCTATCCTAACTTTTTGTGACATCTAACTGTTGGTTACCAAAAATTAATTTGATTAAAGTTTTAAATGTCCCACTTGAGTAATATAAATATGTAAATATGGTAACGAAGTATTACTCTGTGTAATTGAATAGACGAGAATCCCACAGATCGTGCGTCCCACGACCCCGGTCATGAAAATAACAGGCATCTGTACCATCAAACTGGTTAAGACCATCATTAGTGTTCTTGGAAGCATGACTATGAACAACATCCAGAAGGACCACCATACCAAGACGATGTGCTTCGTCAACCAACGCGCGAAGCTCCTCGGGAGTGCCAAAGCGACTAAAAAATAAGGAACACGAGTGATCAACTTTTAAGAAAAATTAGTTTTGTAATATAAATACTGCATACGTTATAAGCATAAATCCTACAGCTTAACTGTTGAAACATGTGGAATTGTGCATTTCGAAAACGACACACCCAAAGGACCGGAAAAACAGAATGATGCTGATGTCTGTTAGCATGATAGAAGGATGAAATTAACTGGATTAACATAAATAACCAAATGAAAATAGAAGTAACAGACTATTACTCGGTTCGCAATTCTTGATATATTTAAGTGATATAATTGGACTGTAATACATTTTATCTTCATTTTAATCTCTCGTACTCCCTTCCCCTTATCTATTTGGACGTGACCTAAAAAACATTCACATCTGTCATTTTGCATGATTAATTCAATGTAATCGATTTCCTTATCAGTCTCATGTCTCCCAATGTATTTCTAATATTATATATATATATATATATATATATTCCCTGTATGTGGAGTATTCAGCTGAAGAGTTCTACCGAAAGTTCATGAACCCATTAAATTCTGCCCTATTAACCTTTTTGCTTGCTACAAATGCTTACTTTTCATACGCCCCATCGCACAATAAAATGCAGAAATTAAAAATCAAAACTACATTATGACACATTTTCTGAATGTTACTCAACCTCAGTCAGTTTTTAGGTTACATGACCAAGTCAACAGTTCTGCACTGAACTACTTAGGTAAATCAATTGCGACTCTTTGATCTTCTCATTGTGCCAAAGCCTACTTCAACTATAAGAGATTGGTATACAGAACAATTTCGGTTGTGGAGCAGGAGCATCACGAGAAAACCTTAAGAAAGTAAACTACAAGGATATATTTGGAAAATCGATCTGAAAGATCAGCTCAAACAACTGTAATGTATAGTACAGTAGTAGCAACAATAATTGAACTGCACTATAGTGATTGAATCATTGAAACACTTTCTTCTGCTGAGATGGTTAAAGAGCAGCAACAACGACAGACATTTTATTCCAGCAGATTAGTTATTCTTAATAAATATATTTGTCCAATTCAAAAGTTGAGACAATGACGTATTTTCTTCATGTATGAAAACTGTTTTATCAAAAAGTATAATGCATTAAACAAGAAAAGTCACAATTAAATATCCTTATCATAATATCGAATTTCTTAGGCGTTTCGTATCAAGGTTTTAACTTTCTGGCAATAATCCATCTTTGAATTTTAGTTAACCACAGAGGAAACTACCAATAGGTTTTCTTACAAAAATAGATAGACAATGAATAAAGGACTTCATCTGGAAAGAAGGCAGTTATATTTCACAAGACCAAACAGAATTCGTCGAAGTATTTTCAAAAAGGGAAGAAAGAAGGAAATTGCAGTACGTTCGCCAGCGATCACGATTCTTGGTCATATTCGGTAACGTCTCGAGCCACCGATTCGAGCTATCTCTCGGACCCCAAACAGGGTGTCGTGACGCATCAACCGATGCTTACCTACCACGAATATCCTTCATCTCACAACGCCACGTCATGGGCTGACCACCTCTCCACTTTTTCCATCTCGTCCCAGGTCTAGCGAACAGAGACCGGTACGGAAGCCTAAGGGATGACACTCGTAGCATATGTTCAAACCATCGGAGCCGGTATCTGTAAATGACGACACTCAATGAATGCTCTCGACTGTGCCTAAACACATGCCGCTAGACCTCGGAGTTACTCACACGATAATACCATCGATTGTAAGCAATTCTACGGAGGCAGCGATGATCGGATACACAGAGTCGCTGCACCTTCTACAGCTCGGAGAGGCTAAGCTTCACAGGCGTAAAGCAAGACGGCGCGCACCGAAGCATTATAAACCCGACCTTTGACAACGAGGCTAACGTCGCGACAGCGCCAGAGGTGGCTAAAGTAGACGTATGCCACCCTAGCTTTCATGATACGGCTGGAAATCTCGTCCATAACACCTCCGCCAGCACTCACACAACTACCCGGATACACGAATTTATCGACAACTCCAAGCGGTTCACCTGCAAGAGTCAGTGCAGGTACCGGCTCTCGCCAATCTTGTAACACTACCTTGCACTTTGACGGCACAAAATACATACCATACTTACAGACACAGATCGCCAACTGATTAAGTGCAATTCGGCCAGCCCGCATGCCATCGCACAGTAAGACGATATCATCTGCATACTCGAAGTCGAAAAGTCTTTCTCCAGGAAGCAGATCTACACTACCACCACTACGCACATCCTTCAGAGGTGACTCTAGAATGTCATTGATGACAAAGTCAGAGAGAAATGAAAAGATTACGCAACCCTAACTAACCTCACTGTTGGTTGGGAACAGTGATGATAGCTGGTTGTATGCCCTCACTCCACCTGAGGTATTTCTGTATAGGGCTTTCAGGATATTAACTTTTCAGGTACACCCGTCCTCTAAAAGACAGTTCCAGAGAATAGTTCTATCCAACGAGTCGAAAACAGCCCTAATGTAAAGAAACACTACGATTGTTGGCCTGCAGTATGTATGACAATGTTCCAACAACTGACAAGGGGTGAACACATGACCAGTGCACCCACGGCCTGAAAGAAACCCAGCCTACTCTTCGCGAATCGAATCCCCATGTGCTCGGCACAGCCCGTGAAGCAAAACAGCTGCCAATATTTCAGACGCAATCGGTAGCAAACTGATATCTCCCTATGGCTGTCGCATATGTTACGTCGACTCTTTTTAAAGATGGGGACGGTGATGGCTTCATCCCACACTGATGGCACATCCTCAATTTCCCAAACTTTCTTGAACAAACCGGTCAAAGCGACAACCAGAATCTTGCCCCGATCTTTAAAAAGAGCAGGGAGTAAATTTTTTGGGCCAGGTGCCTTATAGTGCTTTAACACTTGGAGTTTCTTCTGGACCTCTGCTTCGACTGGTGAGTCAGTAGTGACCGACCACAGAGCACTCTAACTGATGACGGTGGGTGCTGGCGCTGGTGACCAGCTAAACTGCTTCCCAAAGTGGCCTGTCCAGCGTTCCAGGAGTCTTTTCGGGCCGGTAATTGGCGTGCTATCTGTCTCGCATACACCCTGTTTCTTGCTGCTGCTGGCTCGGATGAGCTGGAACAGCTTCCGACCGTTACCAAATGCATCTGCTGGCTCCATCTCACACGCACATTCTGACCACTTGGCTTCGCGGTCTTTACGCAAATATTGTTTAATCTTGCGCGTAAGCGCCTTTCGCACGTTGTTGTAATCGCTACCTGCCGGAACGGACCGGCTTTCATCCAGGAGTTTCAACGTACTCACAAAAACCCAGTGGTTTCTTAGCTGAGTATTCTTTTAAGCCACAATCGGCTTCACTCGCCATTTGCATCGCGCTTTGCAGATGTAGCCAATGTTCATCTCTACTACTTGGTGGGTAAATAGCAAGCTTTGATTATAACTCAGACTGATATTTCAAAGTAGTAGCAGGTGCTACCAGTTTGCTCACACCAACACGTAGATGACAATGTTTATGAACCCAGACAAATCGCAAGAAAAACCTGGCAGACGCTAAAGCATGATCGGAGTCCAGGCATGTGCTCCAAAAGGAGTGGCAGTCCTGTACGCACCTCGCCTTCGGAAACTGATAGCAATATGATCAATCTGAGTCCAGGTTTGATTAGCAGAGAAAGGAAGCACTACGACGATGGCTGTACCGGAAGTTGATGCTCGCTAAAAATAGGTTGTGATCTGCGCAAAACTGCAGAAGACGGTCCCCATTATCTGACCTGCGACTATGTAAACCCCACTGACCACCTAGACGGTTCTCCTCTGCGCCTAAACACCCGACCTTTGCATTCAAGTCCCCAGCTAGCATTACGACATCTCTCTGACTTGCCTCTTCTAGGATATCGCTCAGTTGGCAGTAAAAGTCATCCCTGATTGCATCCGGGCTGCAATCCGTTGGTGCATATGCGGAGACAACAAATAGGCACCGCCTATCTGGCTTACCGCTTCTTACTCTCGTATAAACTTTCAGTCTCACAGCACATAAACGACTGTTAATGGGGATCCAGTCAAATAATGTAGCTTCGGCTATAGTGCTTAGTGCGACACCAACACTATCTACTACCCTGAATGCCGACGCAACAGGGTCCCCCGGATAAGCGCACATGGCACATACTATTCGAACTTCCAGATGTAGAGGATCATCGAAGCACTCCACTGGGATCTTGAATGCGGGTCTCCGAAATGCAACAGACATCGGTAGCGAGGCTTTCCAATGTTCGCACCAAACTTGCCCGGTGTCCGATTTGCATCAGTGTCCAAACATTGTAGGTGGGAAGCTTGAACGCGGCATATGGTTTCAGGGTATCTGTGTTAGGTGTCACACTGGGGACAACCATTTTGAAGGCTACTCACTGACATCTCGAAACGGCGCAGATGAACTGGGAATTCAGACAAAGGCGAAAGGCTGACGGAAGTGAAGATTCCAAGGATGGCAAAAGTAAAATACGGGAGTCTATGTATGAAAATAAAAATAAGGCTGAAAAGAAACGCGTCAATCAAAACATCATTGTAAAGAGCGTGCGGTTATTTTCACTGATAGTTGTTTCATTTCGCTGATTGTCCTGTTTATGCTGTTTAACTTATATTGTAGAGGATTAGAGAAACCTTTTACCCTTTGAAGGCTGTTGGGAAGTTCAATATCACGTTAGTATGGTACTACTTGTTTGCACGTACGTGAAGACAAACGTATGCTATGTTAAAGTATCTAATTTTTTTTCTGAGGTTGGGAATATAAAGTTGTATACTTGATGTTCAATGTACTTATTGTTTAGTAGGTAGTCGGTTACTTAGCAAGCACCAGGAAAGGTGCAGTGGCAAATAACATAAATGTATTTCGTGTTTGTGCTGCGATTTAGTCAGTAACCATTCCACTAAATTAGGTACAACTTCCTAAATTAGTGATTTAGTCAATACTTTTGACTTTCCCCTCCCTATCTTTAAACTCAATTTTCAAAGACAATCCATGTAGCACCACCTACCACATAATGGGAATGACACATATCAAACATACTGAGACTTATGCTCGAAATTTCCAGATGACCCTACATTTTACCAATGCCAAACAGATAATAGAAAACCAGAACAAAGAGCTTGATTGTTAGGTGTGAATTTTTAAAGGGCTGACAGATGTACTACAGTTGTGAACTATTTATTTTCAAATGAAACAGGAAATATGTAATTTTTTTACCACTTTACAAGGTTTATTGTAGTCAAAGCTCAATCAAACAGAGGAATTAAACTATATGCCTTAGAAAGTCTCCACTGAATGACCTATTCGCTTCGTCATGGGAACCATAAACAAGCATCCGCAAGGAAAAACCGATGATCCCATCTTGTAGAAACACAAAAATTTTCCTGGTTACTAAAAATAAGTTTAGAGCCCTGAAATTGACAGTCACTTGACGACTAACACGGAAAAAGAGAAAAATTAAATTGGTTTCACGTTCGAATGAGAATTCTTAATTCAAACTCCTACTAGTTACGAGCTCCTGAGACACAAGCATCAAGTGCATGTTAGCTTGCGTCACCAAAAAGTAACAGTTCGTTCGACTTATTAAAATCCTGTTTGAATATGGTGACTGGAATAAGACACTGAATCATGCGGAGCAGATTTTTGATGTGCCAGAGTTCGTCATACTTGTTGTAATAGGCCCGGCACTATCAGGTCACATAAGTTGAAGAACAGCCTTCGAACCCTAGACCCACTAGCAGAAAACGAAATGTCGGAGCAAATAACCCAACCTTTTTAAAATATTTTTGGAACTCAGTTATCGGAACAGGTCTCTCGTGTTCGAAGTTAGAAGCCACACAGTGAGTCAGGGATAAAGTATTCAAAATTACAATAGTAAGCAGAGGAATACCGTTTGAGAAGACGAAAAATGTTGACTCTCAGCAAGTGTTTATTTTTAGAAATAAACAAATGGAAGTAACTGTTTATTTCCAACTTTAAAAAGACTGACCTGGCCAGAGAGTTTACAGTAAATATAAAAGGTTAATATTAGGTGATGTTGACTTTTGTAGATAACACATGAATTAAAACAGTTGCTATGTCAATATAAACAATGTTCGCGTAATGTAACTAGTAATTTAATACACGAATGGTCGAACTACATGTATTAGTGAGCTTGTTGATATGCACAGAAAAGTCACAAAAATAATATAGATTCAGGAACATGAGTTTAGCACTAATTAGGAGTATGAAATACTAGAAGTACACACTACATATGAGTTATAAACTCAGATGATCTGACTTCTCGAGTTCGTATTATTTTCTAATCACTTCGAGACATTGTTATGAACACAAATGTTACATATGCGTCGTTAACATGGGTGGTTATACTATTTAAACAAACTTACCAACAACGACAGCTTTTGAATATGGAAATACAATAAAGCAAATTTAAAGGCACCCGTTCCATCAAGTCATAAAATAACGGAAGGTGTTCAATCAAAAGGATATAATACATACACAAAACAGAAAAAATCTCTTACAAAAATTGTTTTGTTACAGAATCTGTAAGAATGAACATCCGAACATACGTAGAAACAAAAACAATTAATCAAGACTTAGGCTCAAAAAATATCAGATTGAATGTGTGCAACGCACATATGGATATTATACTTACCTTGATGCCGCGAAGAAACTGGTCACCTGATATCCGAAAGAGGCATAATAGGCGTGCTCCATAAGCGCCATGATTTGAATCGCGTTGTAACCTGCGAAGACAATGATTTTAGCCATAATCTGGATTTCACTTGAAGGATGTAATGTTTAGTCCTACGCAATTAACGTCACTGCTAACCTGGCATTCTGAAAGTATTCAGTCCCTATTATAAGGTATTCGTGATACAGGCTTGATGACCATTAATCTAAATTTACTCATATCAAACATTTAACGGTTCCTTCAAATGTGGAATGCAAAATACAAATTAAATTATGTATGGCCTACACAGATCACATTTAAATTTAAATCAAGCAAAATATCTTAAAGAAACTGGTTGAAAACATGCGTGTAAGTGATAGATGAAATAATGCAAGTTACTCATTTAGTTAGGGCCGGAAGTAAACTTAAATTAACTGAAAATTTGTTCCTGGTATTCTACATAGTCTGACAAGTGAAACAATATATTCTGGTCTTAGCAACTCTTTACTACTTGCTTCAACAGGCCAAATACAGTATATTTACAAAAATTCATTTGCTAAGTAATGCTTTGCAAATGAATCAAAATGCTGCTGTGCAAAATAAATGAAGACCCTTCCAGTGTATGCTTCTTATTATTCAACGCTGTGCTGTGAGTACTACTACAACATCAGTGATTACCAAACATGTAGTTTTACCATACTTACCTAATTCTTTGATTCGAGGTAGGATATTGTCCTTGAAATGAGTATAAGACGCAACAACTGGTTCAGAAGACGAAATACCAATGTGACACTCATATATTCTAAGACTCTTAGGGCGTGGAGGGTGAGGATGTTTAAATTGATATTTCTTTAAATGCAAAGAATGATGTAGAACAAGTTACCTCGGGGGGATTGTATAATAATTGGTCATATACAATGTTTCCTTCAAAGCACTTGACATAGGGAGCCCAAGGGCTTAGTCTGTCAAGGCGACGACCATCATGAGCAACAACCAAGAGCTACGAAATGAATAGGAATAGAGATACAATTACCTTAATCTTAGAAAGATGTTTTATTAGGGGTGAGCCATTAGATGGTGGTATTGTCATTTCCCACTTGCCAAAACCAACACTTTTAAATGGATGGGTAAACTCCTTCCATTCATCTAAAAATTAGAAAGAATGCATATAACCCACTGAAATCTCCACGAAGATACAACTCCTTTGCACCTGGAGCCCATTCCTTGCAATAAATAGATCCATCAGCATGCACATGTATTCCGAACTCTTTATAACCCTGAGTGAACTCCTCTAAACCACATACATCATTTATCCACTTCATATGGTCTAGAAAACACTTATATCTGAAAAATATCTCTTTAGATTTATAAGGTAGTCACCTGCGCTTAATTTCATACTTATATGGCTCCAGCCAAGGATCCATTTGGAGTAGTTTATTTAAGTCAGGTACATTAACCGCCTCAATTTCTTCCGGCTTATAAAACATCTTAAGCTGCTCCAGTCTTGACGAACGACTATAGCGAAACTAACTGTGAGGCCCGCTTTTGTAAATCGAACAAAGTTCAGCCTAGCAGAACAACGAGAAATCCAATGTCCAATATATTCCAATAAATCAATGATTTCTTTGAGCTCGCTTTTTGATTATAAGGTAGAGGTTCCAGATCTTCGGTGAACTTATGCGTATTAAGTCCCGCCACTCGACTGCTTTAGCTCTGGTAGACTCCAAGAGGAGTGGTGCGAGGATTGGTCAAGATTGTGGTTTGTAGTGTGCAGTATGTTAGGACTCAGCTGCTGCCGTGAATGGAATTTGACCTAACACCCGTTGGTCATTCGGTGTAGTCACAAAAGTAGAATAATAATAGGTTGTATTGTATATAATATAGGTTGAGATATCCAATATCCAATATCGTTTTTACGAGCTAGTATAAACCAATTTGATTTCTTTGTGTTCGCCTCTTGATTGTGAGGTATAGGTTCCTGATCTTTGGTAAACGTCTGTGTAGCTCGTCCCGCCACTCGACTGTCGTAGCTTTGGTTGACTCCAACAGGAGTAGTGCTGGGATTAATTATATGGGGTTTGTAGTATGAAGTGTGTTAAGACTGTTACTACTGTGAATGGAGTTGATCCTATCACTAGTTGGTCCTTCGGTATGGTCGTCAATAGAAAAGAGATAATAATAATAATAGATATAACTAGTGAAGGTATTCAGACTAACAGACAGAAAAAGAATGAGAAGACGTAACAACAGTCAGTCAACCGGTATACATATATATATATATATATATACCAGTAATAATGATAATGATAATAATAATAATAAGTGTAGTTAAAGCTGTCAGGAGAGTAAGACTGAAAAGAATGTGAAGAAGTAAAACGACCGGTTTAATTGTCTACCTTTGAATGGTATATGCGATTTTAAGGGGATAGGCCATTTGGATGAAGTCCTTGTGTCGCTGCATGGTTGTCCAGCCTTCGCTTAAAGGCGTCCACAGGTGGTGCCATAGCTACATCTGCCGGTAAGGAATTCCAGGGACGGCAAACCCGCAGGGAAAAGAAGTGGGAGCGCACCCGGGTCCTTGCTCTCTGATGAGCTATCCTTCTGGGATTTCCACGAGGGAGCCTATACCTACTCAATGGCAGAACACCTTTGTTTGGGTGATTCTGATCATTTGTTATTTTGTAGGCAGTGATTAAATCCCCCCTAAGACGACGGTAACTAAGTGTGAATAGGCCTAATTTCTTTAGCCTTTCGTCATATGGTTTATTTCGGAGACCAACCACTCCTTTTGTTGCCCGTCGTTGGACTCTTTCCAAGAGGTTGGCGTCCCTTTTAAGCAGTGGGGGTGCAATGATATTATGCACTTCAAGATGCGGTCTGACGTATGTTTTATACAACCTTAGAAAGAGCTCAGGAGTGAGTGCACCTAATTGTCTATGTGTAAAGTGTATGACCGCATATGCCCTCGTTACATCCCCCGTGTAATTCACGTTTGTGTCCATTTTCTCCGTTAGAACTGGACCTAAGTCACGTTCCGACGTTGAGCAGGACAAGCTTTCATTGCACAGGGTGTAACTTGCATTCTGCAGTCTACAGGTGCGTAACTTCACTACTTTGCGCCTTTTCAGGTTGAAAGTCATTCCACTGGTTACCGCCCAGTCTTCCAGAAGCCTTAGATCTGCCTGCAGTCTATCTGAGTCCTCCGGACACTTTATCGCCCTCCATATCTTTACGTCATCAGCGTATAGAAGAGTCGGGCAGTTTAGACGGCATGGTAAATCATTGATAAAAATCAAGAACATCAGTGGTCCAAGGATAGAACCCTGCGACACTCCTGATGACGAGCTGTGCCAAGATGATCGGACTCGATTGACCTTTGTGCAAAATTGCCTTTCAGTTAGGCAGTCATTCAACCATGACAGAAGTGGTTTACCTAGACCTACCTGGCTTATTTTGTGTAGGAGAAGGTCATGGTGATTGGTGTCAAATGCATGCTCAAAGTCTAGAAAGATCACATGGACTGGAACATTCATATCCCAGCATGATGTCCAATCGTCCCAAGCTGATAATAAGTTAGTGACGCAGGATCTCCCTTTCCTGAAACCGTGTTGGGCTTCATGGAGTATTTTAGACCTATCGAGATATTCCCTGATGTGATCATCAATAATACTTTCCAGTACTTTCGATACCACTGGGAGTAGAGCTACTGGTCTATAACAAGTGGCATTTTGCCTATCCCCACCCTTGAAGATCGGAGAAAGGATGCTTCTTTTCCATTCCTTTGGCAGTTTCCCCGATTCCATGGAGTGTTGGAACAAGTTGCATAAAGGCCTACAGAGAGCTTCGGCGCACTGTTTCGGAACAGATGGCCTGATGTCATCACAACCTGGGGACTTCCCAGGTATGAGTCGCTGCAGCTTTCTCAGTACTATTGCAGGGTTTATTTGAGGGGTGGCTATTTGGTCTTCCTCCTGTGAAATAGTCATGCCACCATTTTGGTTCGTAACGGTAATACCCACATTGCTGTTTAGCTGTTTGGCGAAGGCTAAACTGAATGTTTCAGCCATCTCCAGACTAGTGAGATATTGACCGTTTTGGCCTACTAAGGTGCAAGCCCCTTGGTTGGTTGGTTTCCTTTCCGACATGAATCGGTACAAGTTCTTCGGGTTTGCCAGGAGTTTTTAGCAAGGTTAGCCTGGAATGACCTTCTGTCCCTCCTGACTCTTGCATTGCACCGGTTCCGGAGTTCCAGGTATGCATCATGGTCGATCTGGCCTTTAGATACGCGCCACGTAAACCAAGCCTTCCTCTTTGCTTGCAGAATACGCTGCGTGCCTCTCTTTAACCATGATGACTTTCTTTTGGGCTGTGTTGTCACTAAAGGGACAGTATCCGAGATCGCTGTATGAATAATCTTTTTTACCGCTTCCCAGTGTTCATCCACAGACAGCTCATCCCATGCTAAGGGCCAGTCTGCATCGGACAAGAGCCTCCGCATTTCAGCGTAGTCAGCCTTGCTGTAACACAGACATGGTTGCGTAGCGTCCCACTGCGAATGCTCACGGAGAACGAGGTTGAAACCTATGACTGCATGGTCACTACTTCCTAGAGGAGTCATTATCTGGACCATTTCGACAAGAAGTTGGTCACTAGTTAGAATGTAGTCTAGTTTTGATGACTTTCCACTAGGGCCCCACCTAGTGTCGTCTCCAACATTCTCAGTCAGTCCCGTGTCCCGAATAGCTTGCAGTAGATTTCGGCCGAATTTTCCCTTAGCATACCCCGAGCCAAGGTTCAGTGATGGGGCATTGAAATCTCCAGCAATGGTGATTTGGTCATAGCCCAAGTCTCGTATCCCTGTGATAGTGCTGAGCAGTAGCTGATTATGCTCTGCTCCACAGGTGGGAGATCGGTAGATGCCACCAAGTAAATGCTTGGTGTGGCCTACGGTGAAATGACACCATATGGAGTCTGGGAGTTCAATAAGTGGTGGGTCCGTTGCGCGCACACATTTAAGTTGCCTATCAAAGTATATGGCAACTCCCCCTCCTTCCTTATTATCCCTGTCTCTCCTGACCAGAACCATATCACCTATACTGATTTCGTCGTCAGCGATAGTGGGGGTTAGCCACGTTTCAGTTAGAATGATCATTTTCAGTTGTAGGTGTGCTTGGAGATTTCGGAGTTCACCTATTTTTACTCTCAGCTCCCTCACATTGCTATACAGGCAGCTGACAGTGAGTCTTACAACCTCAGCGTGTTGTGGGGTAGTTGACGTGAAGCTGTCTGCTGGTAGGGAACTTAGTGTTGGGACTAATTGGCCAGTTCCGATGGAACCGGCCCATTGTGGTTTTTTCCCTTGGATTTAGGCAGGACACTTGGGTGACACAGACTGTTATTCTCAGAACTGCATCGCTGGAGTGTCACTGAAGCTTGGGGACGTATTAAAGCCTCCGTTTGCTGCCTACTTATGGTTCGAGGTCTGCTTTCGCGGCATCGGATGTGTCCTCCCAGTTTTCTCTTGATCTCGTACCACCGTTGAAGTGTTATGGCCAACTGCTCTGGGGAGTTGAATGTGACACTAAGCAGCTTTGGGGAGCTAATCAGTGTGAGATGAGCGTGGCGAGGTAGTCGGAAAATGGAGATTGCTCCAGAAGCGCTAAGGGCCATCTGAGACGACAGCCATCTCCACTGCTGTACGTCATGCATGTGTTTTTCACAGGCAGTGCCCGTTTCCAGCTCCGGGACACCGTGCACTACCATAGAGGTGGAAGGCAAAAGTTCCGGTGACTCCCTTGCCATTTGTCTGACAGCCCATTGTCTGTCTTGTCTCACCCTTATGTTAGAGCTTCTGTCGATGGCTAGTACCTGAGCCATCAATAGTACGTTTTCAGCCTCTTCGGCAGAGTCCAGTGTAACCCGTAATGGGGGTGACTTACCTTGAGGTGTGTGGACACCCCTGTACAGCCTGCACAATTTCACTGAACTAATATTCAGACCTAGTTTATTGCACAGGTTGGACCACTGTTCCTGATCAAACAGGGCCCGCTGTTCGAGCAAGCTGTCCTTGCTCACAGGTACGTTAAAGAGGATGAGCGAATTAGACCGATTAACCTCAGACTTAGGTTTGGCCTTTGGCTGCTTGTATTCCTTTGCAGCATCAGCAACTTTAGGCTTCATCGGGTTCTGGCCAGCCTTTATTGTGTTGCCAAGCTTGCTTGTGGATGCAAGTGGTGCTTCTGTAACTCTATCTTTCCTTGATGTTTTGGGTCCAACCTTTTGAATCTTCACTTTGTGAAAATTGGCATTCTCGGTCAGTAGGACTGGAGTGTCCTTCTTACTGTTTATGCCAAGTTTTGGCAATGTGATGCTAGCAGGTGGGGAGCTACAAAAGACCGTGTTGGGACACAAGGGCGGCGTGAAGTTTCTGCTAACCGCAGACACGCTCTGTGTGACTACACCAGGGCGACAGAGTGGACAGATGTACCAAAACCACGGGCACGGGTTATTTCTCATAAACTCGTAGTATGATTTCGGTACCTCTTTGT